CCAGTGACAGACTTGTGCTGCCCCCAGCTATGCCCCTTGGTGCCCCGCCTGCCAGAACCTGCAGCCCGAGTGGGAGAAGTTTGCCGAGTGGGGCGAGGACCTGGAAGTGACCATTGCCAAAGTGGATGTCACGGAGCAGCCGGGTGAGAGTCTGCGCGCCCCCAACGCCCGCCCCGGGGCTCGGGGCTTCTGAGCCCCCGGGGAAGGGGGCCGGGGCAAGTGTGTGTGCTTTCAGCAAATAAACGGCATGGGTTAGGAATATTAAGGATCTTTTCCTGATCTCTCCTGAAGGCGGATTGCTCTCTGTAGACCACGCAGTCTCGTCTTTCTTAACAGAGAAAGGAAACGAGGGTTTCTCCAGAAAAGTGACTTGCAGGATTTCAGGGGGATTTTTGACCTTATTTTTTAGGCATCATACAGAGCAAAAATGTGGTTTCAGCCTTCCCTGTAGCAGTACCTCCCTTTTTTGGCAAAAGGGAGTGCAAGCAGTCCAGTCTCCCTCAGCTGAAGCTCACTTCTATGCGTTGCCCTCATTTCTTTGCCGGGTTTTGTAAAAATGACCTTCTCCATGCTGATAATTTTCTCCAAAGTCTCATAAGAACTTTTGAAACTTGCCTCACTTGGATTATTTTCTGCAAGCACCGGAGGTTGCAGGTCATGTGGGAAGAGAGCATCTCTCTCTGAAGAGCTGCAGCCAAAATAGTCAGGTAGAACAGTTATCCCCGGGCATCTATCTTTGCCCATGGAGAAATTTTCTCATTCATTGTCTGGGAGCAATTAGACTGTGTGCAGTACTTTGATACATACAAGTTTGTGTTTGATCGCAATTAAAGACTTTCACCTGGGAGCAGCTGTTTTTATTTCAGTGTGTGATAACATTGCAGTGTATAATAAAATGAATTGCCTTTTCTTATGCTAGAGTGTTCTACTATTCTGAAAATAGCTGTTTTCTTACAGGGTTAAGTGGACGATTTGTCATAACAGCTCTTCCCACCATCTATCAGTAAGTAGGCAATGCAGCAAGATTTTTTGGAGGAGAGAGGACTTTTTTTTTTTCCTTTTTTTGGGGGGGGGGAATGAATGAGATTTGCCATGCTCTTTAAGAATGTGAGTTACTTTACACAGAAACAACCGCTACCTTACCTGCTGTGACCTTACAGTACTGCCTGTTTTTTTTTTTTCTTTTCCCTTCAGGCCTTATTTATTCTATCTTTTAATGGGTGTTTCTGCAGGTTGATCTTAATACAGTTGTGTGGCAAGTGCATTGGGAAGATCGTTATCTTTGTATGGAATCACAGCCTAAAGCTAGCCCAGATACACGTGGAGTCAAGATTCTAGAAATACTTGTAATCAAGGTTTTTGGAAAACATTTCAGAGCCAATATCATCTAAAGCAAAGTAAAACTAAAAAAAAAAAAATAGGCAAGGAATTGAGAGGGAGGATGTTGAGTGGAAGCAAACACTGCATGCTTGGACTGTCAGAAATCAGGGACCTTTTTTGTTTGTTTGTTTTACAGCTGTAAAGATGGAGAGTTCAGGAGATACCAGGGTGCAAGAACTAAAACTGATTTCATAAATTTCATCAGTGACCAGGAATGGAAATCTATCGAACCGGTTTCATCATGGTTTGGTCCTTCTTCTTTCCTGTAAGTTTTGGTATGATTTTTATAATAATCTGTTGTCAAAGATACACACTTTAAGGACATGCTGGGACAGGTCCTTAGGTGTGCCGCGCCCGGTGCTACCTCCTCGTTAGCAGCTCATGCAGCAGCTCTGTGCTGGTAAGAAGTATGTGAACATGATGGGTGGGTTGGTCATCCCTCCTTCACCAGCTGTGGGAAGATTGTGTGCACTCATGTAGCAAAGGTGTCCTGAGCGAGGTTTATTTTTGAGACTTCAGATAGTTATTGGTGGCTGTATTGGTTTACTAAACTCTTGTAGGTAACTTACACTTGAAGTTCTTCTTTTGTTTATATGGCAGAAAGATGTTTTGCCCAGCTAAATTCTTGGAAGTCAGCAATAAAAACTAGAAAATAATATAGCAACATTTAAGAAGACGTATCTGTAGCCAAAATGGAAGGGTTGAAGGTTCCTTTGTTGAAGGAAAAGTGAAGTGGGGAGACTGTAGTCTGAGAAGAAACATGCTCTTTGGAATTCTTTCTGGTTTTGGGGCTTTGATGTGCTTTTAGTTGTTGCTGCATGTGCAGCATGTGTGTGGTGGTTTCAGAGCAGTTGAGTAACTCGGAGTGATAAAGCACGTTGGGGACACCATTAGTTGAGGCAAAGGAACCCAATAGTTGATGGGTTTTCTTCTGGTAGAGCAATGATGGCTGAAACACCTCTGTGCTAACTGTACTGTGCTGTAGCAGTGCTCAGTTTATGAAGTGTTACGCTAGACTGAAATTTTACATTTTTTGCTGCTCTTCTAGGAAGTTCAGCTTTGTTACTTTGTCTACTCACAGTGCTGTTTGAATCTTCAAACTGCGCGGTTGATCTCCTACAAAATATTGGCTCACGCCAAGGAATATGTGAAACGGGGTACTAATTTTAGGATTAATAAGTTTTCTATTAGAAGTGTACAGTGCCAGCTCCACTTCTTGTGCATACTAAACCAGTTTGCAGGCTGCTTCTACGGCTCACTCTTGAGCAACTTAGGTTGGCTTAATGTTTCAAATTCTCCTTTCCTTTACGGAGAGTGAATACTTAATGCTGAAGTTCCACAATAACAGGGGAATGTCAGAATAGGCAGGATATACATGGCAGATAGCCTGGTCTTTTTCACCTGTATGTAAAATACAGCCAAACATGTCTGAAGGTCTCTCAGTTCTTATATAACCTGCTGTTGGGTGTGGGTTTTTTTTAATAGGTTAATTTTTTGTTTTAATAAAATCTCCAGGTGCTTAATTCTTAATATCTTGAACAGAGTTCCAGCTGGCTTCTTGCAGACTGTTGGTCCAAATATAACTTAGAACATAAACAAAAGTAACTGAAACTTGTATGTTAGCAGATCCAAGGCAAGGAAGTTTGTGAAGCTGTAGTTGTCCATATGTGGAACATCATACAAGCTGATGTTGGTACCGAAGGTAGCTTCATGGGAAACAAGTGTTTATTGAAGTAAAAGACAAAACTCCCAAGTAATTAAAAGGGAAATCAGATGTGAGCAGGAAGTTGTTCAATGTGGGACTAAATAATGACCAGTCAGGCAAATCAGAAGATACAGGTATGTGACTGGATTAAAGATGTTTTCAGTTACTTTTTTCTGCTTTCTTTCAGGATGAGCAGTATGTCAGCTTTGTTCCAGTTGTCAATGTGGATCAGGGTATGTGCTTAGATCTCTATTTTATCTTAACAGACATGATATTTGGCTATTCTTGGAATAATTCTCTTGTCTTTTATTCCAGCACTGCCATGGTTATTTAACAGAAAATGTTGGAATACCAGTCTGGGGCTCATATGCCGTTTTTGCGTTGGCAACTCTATTCTCGGGACTGATACTGGGACTTGTAAGTGAAGCACTTGAAACAGATTGGCTTGTGACTGCTGTGTGTGACACTAATGCTGCCTTTGTGTTGATCTTTAATAGTCAGACCAGGTGTTCTTGGGGTACCTAGCCTGTTGAGCTGGAAGACTGGGACAGGGAGCAGAACGAAGCCCCCATAATCCAAGGGGAAATGATTAGTGACCTGCTACACCACTTAGACACACAAAAGTCTATGGGGCCGGATGGGATCTGCCCAAGGGTGCTGAGGGATCTGTCAGAAGCACTCACCAAGCCGCTCTCCATCATTTATCAGCAGTCCTGGCTAACTGGGGAGGTCCCAGCTGACTGGAGCTTGGCAAATATGACAACTACCTATGAGAAGGGCTGGAAGGAGGATTTGGGGAACTACAGGCCTGTCCGCCTCGGTGCTGGAGAAGGTTATGGAGCAGATTATGCTGAGTGCCATCACGTGGCACGTACAGGACAACCAGGCAGTCAGGCCCAGCCAGCATGGGTTTATGAAAGACAGGTCCTGCTTGACCAACCTGATCTCCTTCTATGACAGTGACCCACTTAGTGCATGAGGGAAAGGCTGTGGATGTTGTCTACCTGGACTTTAGTAAAGCCCTTGGCACTGTTTCCCATAGCATTCTCCTGGAGAAACTGGTTGCTCATGGCTTGGAGGGGCGTGTTCTTTGCTGGGTAAAAAACTGGCTGGGTGGCCAGAGAGTTGTGGTGAATGGAGTTAAATCCAGTTAGCGGCTGGTTACAAGTGGTGTCCCCCAAGGCTCAGTGTTGGGGCCAGTTCTGTTTAACATCTTTATCAATGATCTGGACGAGGGGATTGAGGGCACCCTCAGTCAGTTTGCAGATGACACCAAGCTGGGTGGGAGTGTTGATCTGCTGATTAAAGGGTCACACACTCCACACAGAGCTTTCCTGCAAGCCGGGGTTTTCTGCTGCTCCCTCCTCCCCGGGCACAGCGCATGGCTCCAGGAGGAGATGTACAACAAGCATTACCTTTAATCTCATGACACAAGGTGATTCGCTCTTTGATCATGTGCGCTCCTACGTTTGATAGGAAAGGTGGCCAACCTCATGTGCAAAAAGGACAGTGAGGGAGGCACAGGCCAGGCTGAATATTTCTCCTTGGAAAACCATTTTGTGTCCAGAGAAGGGGAACGAAGCTGATGAGGGGTCTGGAGCTCAAGGCTGATGGGGAGTAGCTCAGGGACCTGGGGGTGTTCAGCCTGGAGAAGAGAAGGCTGAGGGGAGACCTTATCGCTCCCTACAACTGCCTGACAGGAGGGTGTTAGTCAGGTGGGGGTTGGTCTTGTCTCCCAAGTAACAGGCCTCAAGTTGCATCAGGGGAGGTTTAGATTGGACATTAAAGAAATTTCTTCACTGAAAGAGTGGTCAAGCACTGGAACAGGCTGCCCAGAGAGGTGGTGGAGTCGCCATCCCTGGAGGTTTTTAAAAAAAAATGAGGTGCTTGGTTTAGTGGTGGCTTCGGCACTGCTGGGTTAACAGTTGGACGCTATGATCTTAAGGGTCTTTTCCAACCTAAGTGATTCTCTAATTCTAATGTGCAGGATGTTTAGAGGTTTAAACTTGTCTTTCTTTGGTTTCAGATAATGGTGTTCTTAGCAGACTGTATCTGTCCATCCAAAAGGCACAGACCACCGCAGTACCCTCACTCAAGTAAGCCCCCTGTATACTTCTAATTCTGTGAAGCTGTTTGGTAAATCTTATTTAATAAATATTGGTATGTAACTCGTGTCTGCAGGACATAACATTTAGTGTAGAAGTTTACACTTGTGACTGATGCTTTGCTTTACAAGCAGCTGCTTGCCCTTGGGGTTTATAGTGGATTTATATTTTGTATTTAGCTAAAGCTAAACTATTTAAAAAAAAACCCCAAACATTTTTAGGAGATAGAAAGATGTTTTTACAGCATTTTCATACCTGCAAGGTACAAAATTCCATATGTGCAGGGAGATAAAAGTTTTGAGTGGAGCTCTGAGTGTTGCTAAGCTGGGGGTTTGCATGAGTTTTAGAGGCAAAGTGAGGATTAAAAGTGAATTTGCGTCTCTCTGGATAGTAAGTGATTGGGGTTAGGCGCTGGAATTTTTCAAGGTAATCTTAGAAAGTCATGGAAGAAGGTCTGAATGAACCTTTATGGTTTGTAGGGACCTGGCTCATTTTTTTCAAGGCTGCAGGAAGTTTTATATTACCTTGTCTGCGTAGTCTAATCTGTTAATACTTGACCTGTGCGTAACTTCTTGCTAGCAACAATTCTACCTAAGGCAGCTTAAGTGACTGTTACTGGAAAGTGCTCCCTGGTTAAATTCATTACATCACGGGCTAGCACAGAATTTTAAAGTGTATTTCACATGGTAATGGTATTTATTTGTGGGTGCATATTTTCCTTTCTCCTTAAGGAAAGCTAGCTCCAGAGTCCGCTCAGCTGCTGAAAAAACTGGATGAAGAGCAAGAAGCAGATGAGGAAGATATCTCAGATGATGAAACGGAGGGTAAAGAGGTGTCTGACAGAAACTCGTCACCGAATGCTGTAAGGCAGCGCCCAGTGAACACTGCTGCTACGGTGGATAAATCTTAGCTTTGTTTGCATGCAGGATTAGTGTTTGAGTCACCAGCTCAAAAGGAGATAAATGTCAAATCCTTCAGCTTGAAGAGAAGAATGATTCCTGTCATGGTAATAATGATGCATTTCATGAATTCAGGAAAAAAAAAAAAGTTTGGCATCAGGTATTGAAAACAAACATGCTGTTGGAAACGGCTGAAACTTCTCCTGTCTGTGCACAGAGAGGCGCCAAGAAATAATTTATGTGGCTTCTTGAATGACTTGTTCTATAGGGAATTTTTTTTTTTTAACAGAATGTAAACCAGTGTACTTGTTGCATTAGGGAGCATTAGCAAGGAAAATGCACTAACCTGTTTGCTGTTCAAGCATTCAAAAAGGTTGCTCGGTATAAATGTATCTATTGTGCTCTGAAGAAATGCTGAGGGGAAAAGTTTCCTTCAGTTATGGGACGTGTTCCAGGCTTTTTATGTGACAAAAACTGCTTTCTGCTATGACAATGAGTGCTACCCCCCCACCCCCAATCTTTCTTCTTCCAAAGACATGAAAGTTGCTGTCTTCATTTAGAGGAGCAGAAGTTGCCCTCTGAACAAAAGCTAGAGAGCTTGTCTTTGCCATCCTCCCAGGTGAAGTTACCACAAACGGCTCTGTGTAGTGTGGATCCTCTGGCTGACCAGAAACCTGCTATTTGCATCGATTTCTTTTAGAAAAGGCTGTAGAAAACTGTATGAGCTTCTTGGCGAAGTAATTCTTCTCTAGAAAAAATTACAAGTAGCACCGTGAAGTCGTGTTTGTCTCTGACTCCGATTCAGATGGGAATAGTTTACACGCAGGGTTCTCTGCTGAATGAGAAATCCTATGCATTCATCCTGCTGGATGGCAGTAGGACTCTGCTTATTTTTAATATATCATCAGTAATTACTGCTTAATCAAATTTTACTGCAAATCCGGTCAGGCTGTACCTGGTCTGAAGTTGAAATAACTGCTGCTTAATTTCTTTTGCAGACAGAGATCCTTTTCTGTTTTTACAAAACCATCTTGAAACAATATACCCTCATACTTTCTTTAAAAAAATGTAGCTTACTGTTTTCTGTATGGTGTTTGTTTTCACTGCATAGAAATAAAAAGAATGCACACGTGCATCGGACCAGTGTTATCTTGCATCGCTTGTAAAGACTTTTTCATATTCTTCCAGTTAATTTCCAAAGTATTTGTAAGGGAAGGGTTAGCCTAATGCTGAGCACACTTAGGTTTTTTGACAAGCCTGTTCTTGCTGGTTTTTTTTGTTTTGGTTTGGGTAATTTTGGTTTTTTAGTTGTGTTGGTTTGGGGTTTTTTTTTTTTTTTACGTTGTTCATCTGAGTGGGTTTGCGGGACTGGCAGTTGATAAATCTGTGTCAATAGTAAACTTGGCCGTGAGTAATTAAGACTGCAAACATAGAAATGCTCTTGATGTTTTCACTGCAGCCTGGCTCTCTAAAGCCAGGCTCTCCTAGTGATTATTAAGAAGACAGAGCATCAGACAAGGAGCTTAGAGCGAACTCTGCGGGATATGAAAGAAACATTGGGGAAAACTTCAGAGCTCTTGCGGGTGAATTGGCTCGTAAAGCTGTTTAAGACTAAGCTGTGGCTTTTGTCAGTCTTGAATGCTTTGTCAGTTGCATTTTAAGTATATCTGATAGATCCTAATTCATCCTCCATTTTATGAATAGAAAAAAAGTGATTCAGCTACCCAAGTATCTGCGTGAATCTTCCAACAAGTTCTTAGATGAGTAAGAGGAGTTGTTACGTGTGTCCTGGAACGTCCTCCTTTGACTCTTTCTTTCTTTCTTTTTTCTTTTTCTTAACATTGGTGCTCCGGAATGACTTACGATTTCGGTGCTGGGCTATGTGTTAGGAAGATAATAACTGATGCTTGAAAGGGCTTTTTTTTTTTTTTTTTTTTTTTGGTTAAAATATGAGTGTTGCTGTCACTTTTAAATCTCCAACTTCTCCTGGTGTTTGAAGACCACTGTGTGCCGTAAATGCCCTTAAGGTGTTGGTCTTGTGGGATTGCCTTAAATTCTCCAAAAGTTTAGCTCTTAGCCTTTGTCACTAGTAAAATAAAGCAATAAATCCGTGATGCACTAAGGAGAATGAGTAGTGCTGTGTTTGGTAAATGGTGTATTTTGTTAGTTTGGAGAGGGCTTGAGAAGACGGGACGCAGAAATGCTGGATGCTGCTGTTAGGGAAAAGTGTTGAATTGTTTTAAAAGCTGAACTACATGGGCTAACTCTGCTTCAAATATACTTAAATGTAGCTGTTAGAAATGCAGGGGTTTGTAATTTTTCAGTTACTTTAAGACTGTGCAATATAGAAAGTATATGCTGATAACTTTTGCTAACTTGATTTTAAAAGAACAAACGACTTTTTTTTATTTTTTTTCCTTGCTCTACTTGTAGACTCCTGGTTTAACAAGAACTTCTAGCACTATTTTACCTTGCCTTTGCCTTCTGCACACCTACCTTTTCTTACTGCCTCCCTGCCTCAGGCAAGTAACCAAAATTCCAAGACCGCCTCTTTAATCCTGTGTTCTGAGTTGCTGGAATGCAGCCTCTGCGCGGCAGACCTATGCGTGTGATAGCGTAACTTCTGCAAGTTCTGATTATCCGTAGGCAGCCTGTGTTTGCTGATCTCTGTAAATCTTACTGTTCACGTTTTCAATAATATTATGGTTTTGTCCTGTGAATATTTAAGTTTCTTGATAGTATTTTTTTTTTTAAAATCTATGTTCCAAAGATGTTTACTGAGGCTGAGCGAAGGTTGCAATGTAACAAATGTGCGTCAGAGCCTGTCCTTTGTGTGTATTGATGATGCTTGAATATCAGTTTTGTAAAAGTCAGACTGCCCTTTCCATATCATCACCTTGACTGAGCATGTCCAATCTAATTCCAGAAGAAATAAATTAACTGTAACAATACTTTTTTTAATGTTTCAGAGAGTCTTCAAGTAAAAAATAACCACCGGCTTTGGATTCCTGTGTCGTGTCTTTTTTTAAGGCTGTAATCTTGCTGGTTAGCAGTGAAGCAAAACTGCAGCTATTTCCACGGAAAAAAGTAGTAACGCTATAGCTAACAAACGACTTGGGGTAAGTCTTTTCAAAAAAGACAAGTTGGAATAATACTTCAAACTAAAGCTGCACTGAGGGACTTGTCTTTTTCAGCTGAGGCCAGCTTGAGTATCTCATGGTAGTGCAAGCTCACCACCTACCATTTTGGTTATAGATGGTTTGGGAAGGAGCATTTGTGCATGCCTGGCTTAGACAGCGATGGTAATAAAGTGGGTTCATGTGTTGCAAAAAGAGTGTAGGCTGGAGCTGACAAATGATGTTTTAAAATTCAGTTCTTTGTAACATTTTTTCTGTATTTGCGTAAAATACATGCAAATCATATTTCAGCTACAGATGGACTCCTCCCCTCTTCCACCTACACGCTGTATATTAAATCTTAACAGCTGAAGGGGTCAACATTGGTGACTTTATCTTGGAGTGGGAAGCTTAATTCAGAATTGTACGAGTTCTGAAATGAAAGAGGCTGCTTGAGGAGGCAAGAAATCCAGACATGGTATGCTCAAAGCACTGCTGGGTAACAGCCAGCCCAGTGCAAAACTCTTCTCAGAGAGACTGTCTTGCCTGTTCCCTTGCTCGTTCCTGTCTCTTCTCTTAGGAGCACTGAGATCATGGATCTCTGGGTATGGACTCAGTCTGAAAGCGTGGAGTTTTCCGGGAAAGTGCAATAATCCTCTCCCAGTTCCTCCCCAGCAGGAACAAGGAATATGTATTGCCTGGGGAATTAAGGGGATGCTCATACAAGCCTAACTTCCCTACTCTTCCACTCTATATATCATGTGTACAACAGAAAATAATAGCTAGTCCAAAAGGGAAAAAAAAATGAGGTAAAAGTCAAACTGAAATATATTTAGATACTGGGACTAGCTTGACGAGAAACAAAAAAGCAACTGTGCTTCGCTGGCAGTCTGTTTGCCAGATTGCCAAAGTCAGCCACAGATTTGGTTTTGAAATGAATAGTTTCGGTTATGACAAAGATTGATGGGGAGGGAGAAATTTCAGTGTGTTATAGCACTGTTTCAGTGTTGAGAAACACCCAAATACAATGTCAGTATTAATTTTAAGGGTTCTTTGCCTAACGAAGAGGGAATCTGTCTCCTGCAGCTGTCTCACCTCTTTGTTTGCATCAGCTGAAGTTCTTGGTTTGACCTGAACAGCATCAGCTTTGGCTCTTCCCTGAATTTTCCTTCTGACCACTATTCTGGCTAATACCAGACAGTCCGCTCTCAGGTCAGCTTTTCTTAGAATCATAGAATCATTAAGGTCAGAAAAGACCTCCAAGATCATCAAGTCCAACTGTCAACCCAACACCACTGTGCCTACTAAACCATATCCTGAAGTGCCACATCTACACGTTTTCTGAATACCTCCAGGGATGGGGACTCCACCACCTCTCTAGGCAGCTTGTTCCGATGCTTGACCACTCTTTCAGTAAAGAAATTTTTCCCAATGTCCAACCTAAACCTCCCCTGGCACAACTTGATGCCATTTCCCACCATCCCATCGCCCATTACCTGGGAGCAGAGCCCGACCCCCCCTGGTTCCCCCCCTCCTCTCAGGCTCCCCTCAGCCTCCTCTGCTCCAGGCTGAACACCCCCAGCCCCTCCCCAGCAGCCTTGTTCTCACCCATTCTCTTTCTTTACCTTGCTGAACTCCTTATTTTGCTGCTAGCTTTATCAACTTCAGTAACTTTCTAGAAGAAGAGATTCTGCCTCAGTCTGCCCTTTTTCCTCACTTTTCCATATTTACCTCTTTAAAACTTCCCAGATACAAGTTTCATTTCTGTTAAGCATTACTTACAGAAATTTTCTTAACTGCAACGCACATCTGGAAAGCCAACTCTTAGGTATGGATCTGATGTTCAATAGCCATCTTTAATCTGTGAAAGGAATAAATGTATTTCCTTTGCCTGGTGAAGCACCAGAGTATATAAGTATCTCTATTGTAGTCCTTCTTGTATTTGACCTTAACTTCTTGCATACGAAAGCCACCCTTCCAAAAAGCCCCTAGAACCCTATTCCTGGCAAGAAAAACCTGAGGAGGTGCTGGTTTTGGATGGCCTGAATTCCTTCTATCTTCTGTGTCAATGGGGAGAGCCTGGAGCTACCAGAGATGCTGGGCACGAAGAAACGGGCAAGATGTTATCCATGGCCGTGCTGGTGGAGTAGCTGTGCTGCAGGAGTAAGAGGGGTGCGAGGACCTTTCAAGGGGGTGTGATGTTGTTACTCCCCGAGAAGGAAAGATGGCTGAGCAAAGCCTTTCCTCACCCATGCCTGCTGGGCCTGGCTGCTTTCTGTGTGTAGGCTATCTCAGTCCCTGGGTCTCCCAGGAAAATATCACCCATTTCCCTCATGGAAGCTTCCTGGCTGATTTCTTAGATGACTGGAGAATGTTCTCCAAGGGTAAGTAATTGTTTCCTCCTCTTCCTCCTCTTTTCCGCGTCCCTTTGCCAGTTATTTGGGAAGGACACGTCTTATACAGAGGTTTTTTTCTTGTATTTGAACAGGGCTTTGCTAACAACAACTTGAGATGAAGTACTCGGTAGTAAGCAGGCTTTGGTGTGGGCTCTACATATGCCCAGCTGATCAGAAATAGAAATTACATCTGATGTGCCTACCTTAGGCTAGAGCTTGTGCCTGTGGCCAAACTCCCCAGAGTTTCCTGAGCTGCTGAAAGTTCTGTTGTGAGCGGGGATGCTATAACACAGGAGCTGATTAATGAAATCCTGCGTGAAGATGAATGGAAGCAAAGCGTTTCCGAAATGTCTCTTGTTCAGGGAGAATGATCCCTGTGCAATCTCTGCTACGCTATATTTTTAAATGCAAGGAGTTCGTAGTCAGTTTGACGTGCATGGTAGGCGGCGGCGTGACAGGTTTCAAAAGGAGCTGTCTGGTTTGATGCGTCAGTTGTCAGAGCCCAAGGTGATCCATCCCCTTCCAGACCCGTCAAGGCCACAGCCAGTTGTCAGCCCAGCTGGGAGGGGGGAGCAATTGCTGAAGCTGGCCAGGGCCCCTCCCCCAGAGTGGCATTTAAGTTTTTCTTGGATTTTTCTGTATGTTTTCTTAAGCGTGAGAGACAGCAAGAACAAACCCTGCCAGGAGCTGTTGGCCCCAGGGGGAAGAGTTCTTTTTCTTGATGCTCTGCTGAAGTTCTGCAGCCGCGACTAAAACTCAAACCGCCATGGGGTGGTGTAGCTGGGCTGGAGGAGGATGCCAGCATGGCACCCCGTCAGAGGCATAATTCAAACATCTTTTTAAAAATTATTTTTGCAGGATATGCTTGAAGTCTCACAGCTTCTCCATGGTATTCTGATGTCCTACAGCCACTTTGGAAAACACCTCATTTGTCTTCTGCACGCCCGGGAAACCGAGAACCCAGCTGTAGGCTGCTACAGGGGGGTCAGCTCCTGGTGAGATTGGGGCCAGATCTGCCTGCAGGACTGCATATGGGGAGTGTGGAGACGGGAATCTCCCACCTCAGGAGGAGCTGGAGGGCGTTGCTCTTCACTTTTATCTGTTATAATTAGGTAGTAGACCAAGACCTAATGCTCATCACGCTGCTCTAAGACCTCAAAGGCTCCAAACTTAGATCTGCTCCGTTCTGGGTATGTATATACATATATATTTAAAAATAGATATATATTTTTTAATTGCTTTAAAGCACGTCTCCCACAGGGTTGCCCTAACTTTGTGCTGGAGAGCTGTGGAAGAAATTGCATGGCCAAAAGGAGAGCAAGTGGAAAGGAGCCAACTGACCACGTGGTGGCAACATGGAGATGCTATGTGAAGGTTGCTTGGACCTGTGTTCCACTGGAGGAAATGTCACTTCTACAGAGGGACCTGAAGTGATTTCATAGCTTAAAAGAGGATGGCAAAAGCATGAAATGTAAATATTTTTCGTTGTTCTAAAGGAGACAAGGGATATGGGAGCAATATGTACCTGTGAGTAAGCTGTGCACCTTGTGCTGTGGATTCCTGTAGTGTAGCTACATGGTATGGACCGAACAAATGGGAAAAGCAGGTTACAGATTGGTGAGAAATTTCTGAATGAAAGGACACTAGGAAATGAAAAATTAACACTGAGCTAGAGGAAGCGCAGCAGGAAGTCACCGTGCAGCAATATGGGGATGGGCTGGAGGTAACGATAGGAAGGCAAAATGTCTTAACTCCTGCTTTGTGCTTTGGGTGGATGGAGTCATTTTGTGGTGATTGGGATCATCACTGGAACTGTGATGGGAGAAAACATTGAATGGGGCAGAGAAAAAACTCTTCTTTCTCCTCTGTATTTACAGGAGATGGTGTGAACCCGCTCTGGCTGCTCCTGTTTCCATGCAAGACTTCGCCCTCTTCCAGAATGAAGTAAGTGTCCCATGTGCGAGCTGCATGCACCTACGCTTTGGGTGGCATCCCCAGTGGGTCAGTGCCTTGCCGGGAGGATCTGCTCCTGTAGGGAGCAGCATCAGGAACACATCCCCAGCGCTGTGGCATGTCTCTTAGCTGGCCAGAGCGTGCTGTCTTCAGGGGCAGGTTGTTCTGGAGCCCCAGGTTGCTGGGGAGCGGCTGGGGGAACTGGGGGTGTTCAGCCTGGAGCAGAGGAGGCTGAGGGGAGCCCTCATCGCTCCCTACAACTGCTGGAGAGGAGGGGGGAGCTGGGGGGGTCGGGCTCTGCTCCCAGGGAAGGGGCGATGGGACGAGGGGAAACGGCCTCAAGTTGTGCCAGGGCAGGGTGAGGTTGGATATTGGGAAAAATTTCTTTACTGAAAGAGTGGTTCCGACCTAAACGATTCTGTGATTCTATGTACTCAAGAAGCACATCCTCAAAAGCTGTTGCCATTCACCCTTCCAGGCTTCCTGTGCTCCTTGTTCCTTTTTCTGCTGTATATCGTGCTCGGCCGAGAAGACGGAGCCGGTGGAGAAGGGAGCCTGGGAAGGCAGGAGGTGGCTGGGGGCAGCAAAGGTGGCTGCTGCCGTAGCTGGCTCCTGACTCCACGGGGCAGGCGATGGGGAAACCCCAGGGCAGGAGCAGCATTTCGGCTGCTATGGGGAAAACCGGGCTTGCCTGTGTGTCCTCCTTGATGGGGCTCTACGGCTGCCTGGCTGCACAGGGCTCGGAGGGGAAGAAAGGTTCTGGAAAAGGCAGGCGGTGAGCAGAGCCGCAGCCCTGCCCCAGGGCTCCTGCCTGTGCTGCAGCTGCGGCTGGCTAGATTTTCTGCCCCGTGAATGAGGATAAAACCTGGTTTTGTCTTTAGGGCAGCAAATGTCAGGGCTTTTTCCTCTCTGCTTGCTGCGATGCCGTAAGCCAAATCGGCTCTGTGCCTACACCTGGTGTGCGTGTCCCAGCGGGATCCCTGCCAGAGCTGCCGGCGAGGCAGGGCGCTGCTGTCGGAGGTGCTGGGGGAGCGCATCAACCTGATTGCTCCTGTGCCAAACGACAGGTACGACGTACGTGGGGCTGCCCGCTTCGAAAGTGTAATCCCCGCTGCCAAAAATACTGCAGAAAAGGCATGCGCCGTTTAAGTTGCCAAATAAATTGAATACAGGAGTGTACCACATAATCCTGCCCCTAAAGAAGAACGTAGCCTTGTTACTTAAATCCCTAATTCCCAAGTTTTGAGCTGAGATCTGCTCCATGGGGTGTTTTGCTTGAATTAAATATATCGATACTCTGTTTGCTTCAACAACTGTGAATAGGGAGGGCAGCATAACAAACCAGTTCAGCATTGCTTCCCATAAGGACGGGGAAGACATTTTTTAGATTTTTCTAGAGCCCCGTGGGCTGCGGGAGGAGCTTGCTGGTCCCTGCATGCAGGGTGGCTCCAGCACGGAGCTGTTTCCAGCTCCTGCTTCATCTAGGAGCAACAACGGCCAGCGGAGACACAGATGCAGGATCCTGGTTTGGAGATTTCCCCATTCTGGTATCATTAACCCTGTTTTGCCAGCTGCGCCAATTAGTCGTTCCCCTGTCCCCTTATTCGTACTCACTTTGCCATCCCTCCTCAGTCCCTTCAATCCCGACACGGATCAGGCCCTTCCCCTCTCTGTTTTTTCTGGCTGGATTTGCAGAAGTGGTTTATTTACAAATCTCTCCAGAACTGGCCTCTTACGCTTAAAAGTGACGGGGGTATTGGTTGAAGGAAAGCTGATTTTTGACAAACTCAGCACGAGAATGAGAACAGATGGGGACTTTGATGAATTAGATATTGCTAAATGTTGTCCTCCTGCAAATCAGCTTGGTTTTCCCTATTAGCATAAGAAGCAGGAAAAAGGATTTAATTTCTCTAAACATTTCCCCTTAATGATCTACCTCTCCAGCTTAGAGATTTATATTGCTGCTTATCAGCAAAGCAGCTGAATTCCTTCCACAGAAAATCGACTGCAATTTCAAGTTGATTTCTGGCACTTCTCCCTCCCTGGGATGAGAACTGTGCTTAGGAGAGGTGGTTGCTGTTTTTAAATGGTATCAATTCAGGTTTTTATGTGTTTTTAGGTTGATTTAACGGAGTGATTTTTTTTTTTAATTTTTTTTTTTTTTTTTTTTTAAATTTTTTAAAGGGTCAGGAGGAGGCAGCAGCACATTCTGGCGATGCTTTAGGCTCTTAGCCCCCATCTGGCAGCTCTCCTGTGCTCTGATGCCTCTGCCGTGGTGAGTCGCAGCACGCAGGGTCCCTGAGCAGGGTGGAGGGTGGCCCTCCTGGCTGCCCTGGGATCGATCGGGGGGCCCAATCCATGGCACCCCACCAGCACGCACAGCATCCCGCACTGATGCGGGACATGGCTTGGGAGGCTGGCAGAGCTGGTGGGCATCGTGGTAGGGGTTGTCCCGCCTGCGCTAAGAGCTGCCCCTCTCTGTTACCTTTTCCAGGTGGTCTGAGCTTCGAGGGTGGAAGTCTTGTGAAACGGGGTATGAACAGCAGTGTGGCTCCTGTGCTTAAATTGCACCGTGCTTCGTCCTCAACCTGAGGGATTTACAGCCTGGCTGGGTGGGATCCAAAAAAGCACCAAAGGCAGCAGAGCTCTCCCCGCCGCTGGGCTGGCTCTGCGGGAGAGCCCAGCCTGCATGGCCATGGGTGCACAGCGGGGCTGAAGCCGGCAGCAGACGTCTCTGCCCGCGGAAGGATGCAGTGCTCAGCAGCTTCTTGCTCTTCCCTTGTGGTATCCATCTTCCATTCCGTCACACTGCTCTGAAATGCAGTCCTAAGAGCAGGCGGTGAACTCGGGGTATCCCGAGATCCGTGCTTCACCTCCGCACGCTCCAACACTAAGCTCGCTGTGCCCGTGGCACGTAGGGGTAGTCCAGCTCGCCTGGATGGCTGCACTGCAAGCAAGGAGTTGGGGGGCTGCAGGGGGGGACGGGGGCTCTGCCACACTTGGGGATGGAGGAAGACTGGTTTAGGCACTCGGGGATTTGTCTGCTGTGTAGGAGGGCAGCTGAGAGAAAGATGGAGCGGGGGCTTTGCCAGGGCTGCTCGCTGCGCGGAGCTCTGCCGGGTTTTACTGCAGGCTGTTGGCAAAGGCTGGAGCCAGCACACTGTGGGTGCTCTAGCACTTGATGCCGAATGCTGTTGTGTACTCTCTCCAGCCCAAAGGTTGGCAAACACCGTTTGCCTTTCTGCTTCCACCTCTGACCTTCTTGCATCTCCTCCTGCCCTGCCTGCCAAAGAGATGCTGCTCTGTGGGTGCCAGAGGCTGGCGCTGGGTTCGCCGGTGCTGCTGGGGATGGCAGAAATGACCCTGTTTAACTTCTCTGCAAGAAGGACTCTGGAGTCCCAAGGGAACAGGACCCCGTGCTGTCTCACAGTCCCCTTCAGAGGCAGGGAGGCTTTTTAACAGCTCAGCTTTAATTATCCCTTCTGCCACTTGTAGGACCGAGCCTGGATAGTGAGATAAGGCATCCGCTCGCTGATCCCTTGAGAAAACCCCTTTGCAGGTTAGCAGCACTGCAGGGATGGTGTCAGTAGCTGAGGACTTGCGTTCCCTGTGAGTGGTGTCCCTGGGGACAGGGCTCCATGGGCAGGGGGAACCTGTGCACCCCGGAGATCCCTTCTGCCCCATGGGGCTGCAAGCAGGGAGCACCCGGAGGCTCAGCCTTCCCTGCCTTTCCTTTGAGTCCTGGGGCTAAAAGCTATAAGCCTTGATTTTTTTATTTTCTTTTTTCCCCGCTCCTCTGTTCCCCTGAAGCTGCACAGCTCTGATTCATCACGTTGGTCACACCGTCTTTAGCGTTGTCCATTAGTTTGAAACTGCTGTCATCATCTGCAGTATATTAGGTACCACAGCGTCTCCCTCCGTATTAGCCTGTCTTACCGCATCCAAGTCGCTAGATAAATGGAGAGGGAAGCAAAGCTTCTGCAGCCAGCTGTCTGGTAGGCACTTTAATTTCCCGTGCTGTAGGCTGTGTTGAGCATCGAAAGCACGCTGGGGATGTGCAGAGCTGGCAGAGCACTGGGAGGAAGGCAGAAACTTTCCCCACCTGGCTGTCACCCAGGCTTGGTGTAAGCCCTTGGCATCTCCCGTCCTGCTTTCCTCTGGCATCCTCATGGTGGGGCTGGTGGGGGTTTGGTGCATGGACCAAGGTCTCCTCCATGCTTTGATCTTCTGCTCCCCGGGCTGTTGCAAAGCTTGGGGTACTGCTGCCCGTGCAGAGCCCGCTCACCCAACCCTGTGCCGTCCTCCGTGTCAGAGCACGGCAGCTCCTCCAGACACCCAGCTCCGTGAGGGTTGCTCCGTGTGCAGGTCCGTAGCCTGGTGGCTGCTTGCTTCCCAGGGGAAGACAGCTCTTTGTGCTGTCAAGTACTGGGTTTTGGTGGCTCCAGAAACCTGGCAGCAAGTCCCATTTTGGAGGCTGGGGTGGTTGCAGCTGCACCAGCAGCAAATCCCTGCTGGAGCTCAGCCCTCTGCGGCCGCAGGCTTCCCGAGCGGATGGCTGGAGAGGGAGGGAGCCGGGGGCTCTGATCCCATCAGACCTGTTAACAACTGCAGAGAGCGACTTGAAGGACCCCTCAGTGTTAGGCAAGACCTTCTGAATTGAATTTCTTTTAATTTCACCCAGCTAGAAGTAATAGGAAGGGGTCCAGGCACAGCCTAATAGCCTTGGTGCCCAGGGCTGCCTGCGTGCTTGCACAGGCGTGAGTCACAGCTTTGCACGAGGCTGGGTTATCCACAGGCCTGGGCGCACGGAGCCTTTGCTTTGCTCTTGCCTAAGAGCCCCCACGGGGCTCTGGCCCCGGCCCTTCTCCGCCAAAGGAAAAAAGTCTGGCTCCAGAGGTCTGATTCATCTAACAGCAGCTTGACTCTGATGATGGCCACGATGTCCCCAGGGTTGATCTGGACACCCGGCTGCCTCACCGCAGAGCACTCTCATCGCTGCTGCAGATGGGGTTGCAGGCTGCTATCGGAGATGCTCGTGGGCAGATAAGGCAGCCTGGAGAGTTGAAAAGCCAACCTTTTGGGGTTTGTATGTTCAGCTTTACCTACGTGTCCTGATGGCGCCAGCCATGCAGAGGGGAATTGCCCTCAAGAAGTCTTCTTTAAACCACCACAGTCCCATCTTTTGCCTTCTGCCTTGCTCAAACCATCCTGGTGAGCATCCTGCTGTCCCTCAGAGGGATGCTCCCCGCTTGCCCGTGGAAGGATCTCTGAAGCAGCGTGTTGAAACATGCAGGTAAATGGAGAAATGGGAGGCACAGCTCCTGCGGAGGGACGTGCCAATAAATCCACGGGAGGCAGATCCACCTGGCTGCATCTAGGAGCACTCAACTGTTGTCTGGCTCGGTTCTCCAACAGGGTGTTTCGAAGAAAAGCCAGCCTGGGAGATTAAAGGTTTAGTCAATGACTGCACAGATGTCTCGGACATCCGAGATGGTTCATCCAAGCTGTGGTTGTGGAGCTTCTCGGTGACAACTGGGAAGGGGCAGATCATCTTTCATCTCTCACCCGGTGCCTAATTTAGGTACAAAGGCCACTTGTGCATCTTCGGAGCCATAAATCACGCTAATGGTTGGGTTTTAATCAGAAGTGGCAGGCTCGTGTGCTGAGATCGTATCGCGTACGCCCATGATCGTCTCTTTAGCGGGAAATGAGGCATTTGCGCACGTATATTGTGTGTGTGTACAGGCTAAATGACTCAAATGGGCTCTGTCAAAGAAATTATCCTGTTTTAATCCTGAGCTTTGTGCATCCCAGTTGTTATTCTGTGAGAGATAAACGGGAACGGCAACAAGTCTGTACTTCTAACGGGGGAGTGAGCGAGCCTTGATCAAGACTTCACGGTGCAATCTGTATTCACAACGGCTTCTCTGGCCTCTCCTCCTTGGGTTTTATGTCTGCTTTTCTGTTTTCACCATTTAATTGTGTTGGATTTTCTGGAAGGAGAAAGAGTCCCTTTATATGAACTCCTCCTGTAAGACTGAAATATGGAGTTTAATTATCTCCCCTTTATTTATTTATTTAAATGCCAAGGGCTGGCAATCCTTAGCAGGTGCTTCGGCAAAGCTGCTCTCCTCCACGGGATGCTAAAATGAGGAAGCTTCCAGGGGCCATGACTCATTTGCAGAGCGAGTTGCTCGTTCTGCTTGGCTGAGAGCATAAGCAATATCAGAGGAGACACGATTACTCACGGCTGCTCTCGCAGTCAGCGCTGAGCTTCGAAACTACGCAGGCAGCACAGGCGCAAGCCGGAGTGTGGCTGCACGGTGAATTATTGATAAGGGAATAATAGCAACTGGAGATAATCTCTCCTGCGGAGTACGGGGAGTAAATCTTCTCTGCTGTACAGGGAGTGAGTCTCCCCGTTAGAAGAACACTTCCCAGCCAGGGGAATAATGGCGGCAGGAGGTTTTGCTCAAGCGAAGAGCATAGAAAGAGGCCCTGGGAACTACGTTCAGCGTTGCAGGGAAGGGATTTGGCTGTGGGAGGGACTGTTCTACTCGCAGACCTCACTCTTCATTTGGGAACTTGGATATACTGAGCCAAGAGCTGCAGGTCTTCCAGGAGGAAGAGGTGATTTAAACTTTGGAAATGAAACGGGCATCCCCTTACCTGTCAGGGCAGGCGGAGAGGTGCAGGTGCCCAAATTAGAAATGGGTAAACAGGGATTGCCTGGACCAACTGTGTCTGAGCCGGTGGGTCAGATGGCCCGGGGTTAGCCCGGTGATGTGCTTCCAGGAGCAACCATCGGCCACCCCAGGGCCCCAGCGTGCGCAAACCCCGCTGCCTTGTATCGAGTGCTCTGCCAGGGCAGAGAGGCAAAGAGCAGTGGAGGGGTTTGGTGCCCCAGGCAGTGTCCCGACGCCCGCGCTTTGCCTCCCAGCCCCGCTGCATGAAAGCAGGGAGGGGGGAGACCATCCCTGTGCAGCCCCTGATGGCCAAGGACTTGTGATGGGGCATCACAGCACCCGAGCGCCCTCTTGTCCATGCTGCTGCTGGGGCTCATCTCACCCGGGGTTTAACTGAAATGTAAACTCAGCTCTTCCCGGATGGCTGGGAGAGGTGTCCACTGGCCCATTTTAGTGGCTTTTTAGGATATAAGGAATACAGATGCGTGGTGTCTGGGCAGCCAGAGCAGAGCTGCGGTGCTGGGGGGGACCTCGCCGGCTGGCCAGGGAGACAGGGGAGCTGCAGCGCAAGCCTGGCTGGCAGGTAACAGGTTTGCTCCCAGCTTAAATAATGCGAGCACGTCTGCTGGTTTCGGTAGGTTTTTCTCCCAAAGTGGTTCACTGCGCATGGCGAGGAGAGGGGAATGTCTCACTACACCCCGTAAAGGATGAGAGAAGAGCCTCGGGGCTCCACGGCCGGAGCTGCCATGCTTCAGATCCACAAGCTCTGCACCGACCCACGGTGTGTGCTCCGAGCAATCTGTCTGCAGAAAACACACGGGTAGGGCAAGGCTGGGCAAATACTCTTGGCGAAAGGACCATCTGTCAAAACCATGTGATTTGCAC